GGGGGGGGGGGGGGGGGGGGGGGGGGAGAAAACGAAAGAAATCGAGAAACGAGAAAATTTACCGTAACCGAGAGAAATCGAGGGATAAAATCGATCGGTATTCGGTGTGCATAGCTTTTATATTAATTTCGCTGGAGAATAGATTTAAATGAGAAATAAACGCGTGTTACTAATCATCCTAGGTTCGAAAATGTCTGCCGGTAAGAACGTTTTACCGACCGTCATAGCCTGCTCCGACCATTCGATTCGACCGATATCATCGGACCCGATGCTACTACATCCAGTTCTACGCCCGGTTCTATTGCCGGTTCTACTGCCGGTTCCACTGCCGCTGCAGCGTCGTTCGAAGCAGCCGCGCGACTCGATCGCGCCATGCAACCGATGCACGGAACAGGAGAACGAGAAACAGTGCACCGCATGTTCTGTCGGATTTATTTCGAATCTAGCACCGTGAACGATATAACGTTTGTATGTTGTGTAGCTCGCAGAGACAGCCAGGGCACCATGGTAGCGATAGTACTAATCGTAAAAACAAGTTGCTAGATAACATGTAAGAATACGTCGTACGCGTAAGGGGAAGCTTACGATATCTTACGGGGGGGAAGAAAAATATGGCGAATGTTATTGGCGAGATAGATTCGCGATACAGTAATGTCTCCCTTACTGACGCTCAGATTGTCCACTAAAATGGATTATTTGGGAAGAGGAGATACGATTGTTTTTATAGTTGTCGACAATTCGTAACTATAACAAATGAACCGCAAGGATCGAATAATTGTAGCTTCTCTACCTAAATTGTCCATTTTTGTAGACGATCCGAGCGTCAATTAGAGAGACATTACTGCACAGTAATGTCTCCTTTACTGACGCTCAGATTGTCCACAAAAATGAACAATTTGGGGAGAAGCGATACGATTGTTTTTATAGTTGTCGACAATTCGTAACTATAACAAATGAACCGCAAGGATCGAATAATTATATCTTCTCTATCTAAATTGCCCATTTTTGTAGACGATCCGAGCGTCAATTAGAGAGACATTGCTGTACAGTAATGTCTCCCTTACTGACGCTCAGATCGTTCACCAAATTGGATAATTTGGGAAGAGGAGATACGATTATTCGAGCCTTGCGACTCGTTTTTATAATTGTGGACAATTCATAACTATAAAAATAAACCGCAAGGCTCGAACAATCGTATCTCCTCTTCCTGGATTGTCCACTTTTGTAGACAATCTGAGCGTCAGTTAGAGAGACATTACCGCACAATGCTCTGCGCGTTTAACTCTATCCCGTATCGAAAAAAAAGTCGATCATTCGCCTCGTATATTCTTGAAAATACGATAGACCCTACCTTCCTACGGACCTTCCCTGCATCGTTAGCATTTCGAGCGAACTTCCCGTATCGACCTCTCCAATCTATTCGACCTATTGGCTAGCCGTCCCTAGACACTATGCGCCGAAAGAGAAGCGTTCAAGCGTTTAATGCGACCTCGTCGAACGACGAGCCAACCGTTCTACGTCGATCGAACGATTTAACCTCGAACGCGATGGCCTTTGAGACGCGTTCCCCGAGTCGCAGTTGTTATAGTTCGAACGAATCTTGAAAGAAAGCCGCGTCCATGTCTTTCCGATGATTTTTCAAGGATTTATCTTCTAAGAAGGGTGCCGGCAGGGAGGGGTTCCACACGGAAAATCGAGAATCTCAATGATTCCGTGGGGTCGACGAAACTCTAATTGTAAGACCACCGCTGAAAACTTATTCTCTCGCATACAAAGTGTACACCTACAATAACGCGCCACACTTAGGATACGCGTAACGTAGCGTGTTCCGGCTGACAGTACTTCTACTTGCACGTTGCACACACACACGTTTCGCCCCCTGCCCGCCGCATCCGGAAGCTCCGAGAAGCTGCGACGAGTCGCGACGAAACGATATATTCGTCTGTTTTGTTTCGCGCAACACAGCGAACGCTTCTCGCTTCCCGCTTCTCGCTCTCGTCGCGTATAGGGTGTAGGGTGTAGTGTGTGTAGGGCGTAGGGTATAGGGTGTAGAAGGGTACGGGCTGTAGAGAGAGTGTGGAGCGGCCTCGATCCAACCAAATGTACGGTTTCGATCGTATTTTCTCCCAAGTACAGCACGATTAGGTAATGGAACGTGCACGCGCGAAAACGCATGAAAACTCTGCGTGCTCGATTTGTAGAAACAATAGAAAAGAAAAAAGATCGGACGATACCGGATAGCGGTACCGCGTTGGAATTGAAACAAGATTATATCGTTTATTATTATAATTATGTCGTTTTCGAACGTTGGAAAATTTCAAGAAAATTCGACGCGGCCAGTTCGATACACGTTCATCGAAGCGGTCCTGCTTTTCGCTGACGCAATCGCGAATCGAGGTGTCGCGCTCGTGTTCGCCGTTTCCGTCGAGCAACGGTGTCGAGGAAGGCTTCGGATGCTCCGACTTCACGATGCCGGACACACTTAGCTTTACGGGGTACCATTTAAGTCGGAAGTTTTTAAACGATGAAAGCCAAACTATTTTCTGCACCGGCGGAGAAATAAGCGTCGAGAAACGGATGTACAAGACGATGAAAAAAGAAAAGAAAAAGAAAGGACAATTGCGACGCGACGAATATCGACGGACGAATGTTGAACGAGATGGAAGGGGAGAGAGCGTGCGCGTGTGCGTGTGCGTGTGTGCGAGCGTGTATGCGCGTGAGAAAAAGAGTGGGAGAAGAAGAAGAAGAAGAAGAGGAAGGAGGAGGAGAAGAGGAAGAGATGAATAAATATCATAATTTCGTTGTAGCCGTGAACAGATGTATGCTCTGACGTCCAATTGCTACCCAGTAAAGAAACGAAGCGAAACGCAATTTATTTATTTATTTAAAGAGAAGATGATTAAATAAAAGAAAAGTAACAATAGCCACGAGATGCCTTGTATGCAGCAAGTGTATGGTGCCCTGGACGTATAAACGGTACGCATTAGAGACAAGAGAAACGCAGTGGAGATAGCGAGGGTAGCGGGGTGGGGGCGGGGAGGGGATAGCGGGGAATTTAGATGGACACGCGTGTCACGTGCGTTCCCGTGGGAATTAGGAAACGGACAGGAACGAAAGTGCATCGACTCGGACGGTTGAACAGTGTGAACAAAGAGTGACGAGTGGAAAGAATGTGGAAAGAGTATGTATTTGTGAAACGCCTCGCGCGAACCGAAACGCGTGATCGAGAGCGAGCGTACTAGCTATTACCGTCTCTATGTAAACGTATTCCGAGAGAAACTCCAATAGATTAATGCCAGTAATTGTCGTCGGTGTACATTGTAAATATTACGGAAACAACTAAATCATCTCAGCGCGCTTGTCGATAAATAATAATCCACTGTCGACCGAGCAAAAGGCCGAGCAGCAACGGACCTTCGTAAACGCGTGATCGTATTCGTTTCGATTTGCGTCGCGCAACGCAGCTACACGACGCGCGCCTGCGATCTATGTATTGTATCCCGTCTCCCATTTCATTCGAGGAATTCGATACGCGGCCCGTGACGCAAAATATTTCGGTCCACCGGTTCTACAGGCGCGCGCGCACAAACAAGCGTGAAGGTTAAGGAAAGTTGCGCGTTGCGTTCGTTTCATTGCGAAAATTAATGAAATTCATGAAAATTAATGCGCTCTTTTGGGTACACTCGATTCGACGGTCATTCCGCTTATGTGAACACGAGGATTCTAAATTTTACGGACGGTCGCGGACGCGTCGGACAAACGACGTCTCGTTTAATTTAAAAAAAAAAAAAGAAAAGAAAAGAAGAGAAGGAGAGAGAACTGGGACGATCCAAAGACGATCGGTACAAACCGAAAAAAAGAAGAAAAGAAGAGAGGGAGAGAGAACTGAGACGATCCAAAGACGATCGATACTGTACCGGTCGTCTTTGGATCGTCCCAGTTCTCTCTCCCTCTCTTCTCTTTTTCTTTTTTTTTTTTTAATTAAACGAGGCTCCTGGTACAAAGTTGAACGAAAACGGCGCATTCGTCTCGAATAAACGTGTTTCGATCGGGCTGTGGTCTGATCGCACGTAGCATTAAGTACTATATTTGTAATTTGCACGGTCCGTACCGCCCGCTATCTTCGTTGTCGTTGCGATTCTATTTTCAAGAAAGTCTAAGGTAGAGATAAAGATGAAGGTGAGGATGAAGGATGGGGATTAAGGTAGAGGACAAAAGTAAAGACGTGGACGGAAGAGAAGCCCCGAAGTCGAGACGACCGCGCGACCGTCCGGACGTGTTTACCGGCGAACTTGCTACTCGACCGTACAATTATCCTCGAACGATCGCAGAGAGAACAAGGAACAACCAGGAACACAATGTATAAAGTGAAATATTGCTTTTCACATGCGATATGTAATATTGTAACTATAGTGATCGTCGTTAATAAATTGTTTTTTATTTTAGCCCGTGCTCGTTTCTTCGCAGTCTAAATAGCTAAAATCTGATAAGTCGAACAGATCTGGGAAAGCTAGCAGTACGTGCTCCGTATTAATTAACCTTTTAGGTACGGCTGAATTCTGCGCGAGGCTATTTCTCTGGACGGCAGAGTCTGATACTGTATATTCTGTCTGTATATACAGGGAGCCCCGAAAATGTCTCGCATTCCGAAAGTGGCGGGTTCCTCGGGCCATTTGAAGCAACTTTTTCCTTTACAAAAATTTTCTCCCAGGCACCGTTAACGAGTTATTAACGAAAGACAGTGACCAATGAGAGGCGAGCTCGGCTGGCGCGAGGCGATCGAGCCAACGAGCGGTACTGGGCTTCGCGCGCTGGTTGACTGGGCCGCCTCGCGTCAGCCGTACTTGATTCTTATTGGTCACTGTTTTTCGTTGATAACTCGTTAACGGTGCCTCGGAGAACATTTTTGTAAAGGAAGAAGTTGCTTCAAATGATCCGAGGAACCCGCCATTTCCGAATTGCGAGACATTTTTCGGACACCCTGTAGACTGTTGTAAATCGATGCGAAGACAAAAGAAGTATGAAACAGTGCATATGAAGACGATTATTTGGTTCAAACGATGAGCGAGTGAGCTACTAGAGCAAGCCATTATAGTGGTGTGTCGTGCCTAAAAGGTTAAGTCGTAAGATTATCAATCCGATGAGGATGTATGTGAGGTAGCATCGATATCGCCTAACATTGTAGATACCTGCACTGCATAATTTTTTAAAGCGCGATGCTTGTTCAAGTTTTAAAAAACAACAGATTCTACTTGTCAGCCCTCGGTTAACTTTCTTGTTGCTCTAATTTAGCTGCAATTAATGTCTTTCGGCGATCCTGTATTGTGCCCACATAGAAGTAACGCCAATTAGTATGTGGCAAAACGTTGAAACTGCTAGCTAAAGATAGTTACAAAATCTGATACTGATGGCGTCACCGTACAAGGCTCAATCGTGGTGGCACTGTGGGGTTATAGAATAAATAAACTAATAGATTATAATATTTCCACTCAACACTTATAATTTATTTAAGTATTTGATATTTTTAAGTTTAAATATTTTCATACGAAATTATCGAACTAATAAATAAATTATTCCAGTTTCATACATACCTCTGTTCACTTTAAGAAGATTTATTATAAATTTTTCTACTCGTCGGTAGGTAACAATAAAAAATGAATTAATATTTATACAGTGACGAAAACTTTTTTAACATAATTCGTAAACTTAATCGATATTTAAAAATTATCAATAAAGTAGTAAACATCAATTATCTACATCTGTCATAGCATTTATATGGTGGCGCCATCTGCGTTGGAATTCTGAACTAACTTTGGCTAGTAGGTTCAGCGTTTTGCCACTTATTAATTGGCGCTGTGTAGCTAATCGTGCAGCAGATGATTCGTGCCGAATTTTGCATTGATTCTAATGGCAAAACTTGCAGGATTCATCTGGTCTCGATATTTGTAATAAAAAAAAATTTGGTATACCTTCGAGAAATATGATCTATCTCTAAACTGTTAAACTTCAAATTATTTTGTACCGTCATATTTCCCTTATGGCAAGAATAATTTTTATTCTATAACAAAGTATACAATTTTCTCTATAACAATAAGTGCACCTTTCCCGAAAATATTTCTTTAACCATCGAATTGCTAGACTTCGTCTAACATCCTGCAGATAAATTTTTCCGAAGCGACAGATTCGATCCGTGCGTTTATCGCTGCCAGATAAAATGAAAAAATCATAAGTAGACCGTAAATAGAGCATGAATATACCACAAATCGACCATAAGTAGCTAATGATAATAAGGAGGAAAATAAAGGCGTGGACCAACTATCTGGCATATTTGATTATCCAATTCTGTTCTGATTCCAAGCATGCCGGATAATTGAAGTTCCATTGGAATTTTACAGTACACATAACGTGTAGGATATCGAATCGACTGCGCCGTAAAAAACGTCGATTTCAACGGAACCGAGAGAAAGCTTAAATATTCGCATGAAAAAAATGCAAGTACGCGTTGCGCGTTCAATCGGTATAGCGAAAGGTGTCGAGCCTCGCGAAATAGCCTATCGAGGACGTTAGGGGGATCGAATGGCAACGCTTGCCAACGTCGAAGATCCTTGCTGACTACTGCCATCCGATAATTATTTCCGGGGACTTGCGACCAGTGATCCATTTGGTTCGTTTGACGATATTTTTGGTATAAGATTTTCTTCGAAATTTGTTCGAAATTTGTTCGAAATTCTTCCGGAACCAGTAGCAAGTTTTTCAACGCGTTTCCTTAACTGTTGAAGAAGTAAATTCTGTCGACCACTTGAAATTATCGCCGATCCTTTTGTCCAGTGATCCATTTGGTTCGCTTGACGGTATTTTTGGTGCAAAATTTTCTTCGAAATTTGTTCGTTCGTCGAGATTCTTTCGAAACCAGTAGCAACAGGTTTTTCAACGCGATTCCTTAACTGTTGAAGAAGAAAATTCTGTCGACAACTTGAAATTATCGGCGATCCTTTTGTCGCGTCTAATTATAGGATACTAACCTTTTTACGGGACGCTTCAAATTGTTGACGACAATAGCGACGAAATAGACATACATATTTACAGGCAATATTACACAATTCGAAACGAGTTTACATAATCTATTCATATATTATATTAATATTAACTTTCAGTTCTGTATTGTACAAAATGGGCTTTCACCGGTATATATAAATAAATTAGGTTAGATTAAAATATAATCAAGTCGAAAATATAACCTAAAATAACCGAAATCGCAGCATCCGAGGCTCGAGCGATTATTATTATTATTTCCCCGAAGGAGCAACGATCGGTTGTAGTTCACGCAGAAAGCACATTTATTCTCGCCAATGTTTCAAAGAGACTACAAACTTTGTGTGTGCGTGTATGTGTGTAGCTAACCGTCTCGCGGCAGTTTTCTTCCACGTATGTATTGTAACGGCGTGAAACGAGTACGGCCGCGGTATTTAAAAGACTCGCGAAGAGGAAAGTGTACGGTGAATGGAATCGATACGCGAGAAAACCGTAGTACGCGTCGTTTTCGAAAACCGACAAGTACAAATCGAACGATTATGCGAGAGCCACGACGCGTCGCGCGTCGCTCGCCGCTTGTCGCTCAGCGATCGTGAGATGCCCCCACTCTAGGAGAACGCGATTGGATTGATTCCGGTGATAAATCGTTCGGTCGTCCCGGACGAACGCGCGCGAGACGATATACGAAATTCAAGAGAACCAATCTCGTTACCGATCTCGGCCTCTTCGCGCTCGATACGTAATTGCGTTTACATCCTCGTAAATAAACGGATAGAGACGAGCTCGCGCGCGTGCTTCTGCATCTGTTTCTTGAAATATCCTTTATTTACCGCGCCGTTCGTTCCGTCGATACGAAAAGCTTCGGACCCAAACCGAGCAAACCTTCGCGTCGCTCGAGCCAAACGGAACGACTCGCGCGACGCGAAACGCGGATAACGGCTCGTTTCGAAACGTCCGATTAACTGCCTTCTCGACCAATAAAATCCCGTCGGTAAATCTCGGATTCTAGGGCAAAACGATACAAGTTGCGTTCCACTGGATGCGAGAAAAACGAAAGGAGAAAAACATTTGTTCTTGTTTTCTTCTTCGGAATCGATACCATAAACTTCGATATATGTATTCTGTTTGAGATTTTACTTAGCATAAATGCGTCGGGTTTCTTTTTAATTTAATAATAATTAATAAATAAATAATTAATAATAATAATAATGATAATGATAATAGTAATAATAATAATAATATAGTAGATAATAGGATAATAATACAAATCAAAATGGGAACAATATGGTTACAATATACAAAACAAGCGCAAACTAAACGTCCTAGCATCCGATAATATTACAATGGTTGATCTTTAAATTTATTAAAAACATCACTGATGAGGTTGATGTCGCTGGTATAAGTGTTATATCGAGAATCCAATTCAAAGGATCGGTATACAGAATACGTGAGACATAGTGATGAATAGTCCGAGAATCTTTGTACAAAAAAGAAGAACTCTAGAAGTCTAGAACTCTGGGACTCTAGGACTCTAGAATTCTTGAACTATAGGACTCTGAAAAATTCTTGAATTCTAGAACTCTAGAATTCTAGAACCTCAGAAATTTAGAACTCTAGAAATCTAGAACTCTTGAACTCTAGAACTCTGGGATACTAGGACTTTAGAATTCTTGAACTCTAGGACTCTAGAACTCTAGAAGTCTCGAACTCTTGAGCTCTCGCGAACTCTAGAATTCTAGAACTCTAGACTTCTAGAATTCTAGACCTCTTAAAGTCTAGAACTCTGTAAATCTAGGACTCTAGACTTCTTGAACTCTAGGACTCTAGAATTCTAGAACTCTAGGACTCCAGAATTCTAGAATTCTGGAGTCTCAGAATTCTGAATTCTGAATTCAAAAATTCTACAGTTCTTGAGGCCCAGAATTCTAGAATTCTGGAGTCTCAGAATTCTAGAATTCTGGGCCTCAAGAACTGTAGAATTTTTGAATTCTAGGACACTAAACTTCTTGAACTCTAGGACTCTAGAATTCTAGAGAACTCTAGGACTCTAAATTCTAGAACTCCAGGATTCTAGAATTCTAGAATTCTGGGACTCTAAATTCTAGAACTCTGGCATTCTAGAAGTCTAGGACTCTAAATTCTAGAACTCTGGCATTCTAGAAGTCTAGGACTCTAAATTCTAGAACTCCAGGATTCTAGAATTCTAGATCTCTAGGACTCTAAATTCTATAACTCTGGCATTCTAGAAGTCTAGAACACTAGTAATCTGGGGCTTTAGAACTCTTGAAACCTTGAAATCTAGGACTCCAGAATTCTAGAAATCTAGGGTCCCAGAATTCTAGAACTCTAGGATCCTAGAATTCTGGAACTCTAGAACTCTCTCGAACTCTTGAACTTTGCGACTCTAAAACTCTAAAACTCTAAAATTCTATAATCCTGTAACTTCAAAACTCTCGAACTCTAGTACTCTAAAGCTCTAGAACTCTAGTACTCTAAAGCCCTAGAACTCCAGAACTCTAAAGCTCTAGAACTTTAGAACACATTCTACCCCGTAGCTAAAGGTCGCGAGGAACCCGCGGAAAGTATGCGAGCAGAGGATCGAACGTTCGGAAACGTGGACGCCCGCGACTCCATGCTTCCATGTATCGAAAGTAGCCGGCGAGAGTGGTTATCACGAAGCAGCGATTGGTACTGCCCTCTGACCCCTTCGAAGGCATTGCTCCGCCTCTCGCTTACGCGCCGCAACCTACGTACTTACGTGCCACGTACTACACGCGTTCAAAAATTCTCTTCTTTTCTTCCGAGTTTCTCGCGGCGCAACGCGGGTGGCCGAGCGGTTTCGCGTCACTCCGCGGCCGCTTCCGTTCGTTCCTCGTCGTTTCACGCGATATCGACGTCGCGTTGTCGAACTATTCGCTGCGGCACAATCTATCGAACTATGTACTCGGATGAGACGACGGTTCGCTGCGATGCGATCGGCTCTCGTGGAAGAATCTCTGCGAAGAGGGGCACGCGTTCCTTTCATCCGGACGACGAACGTACAGTAATGTCTCTCTAATTGACGCCCAGATTGCGCACAAAAATGGACAATTTGGGAAGAGGAAATACGATTATTCGAGCCTTGCGGTTTATTTTTATAGCTATAAATTGCCCACAATTATAAAAACGAGCCGCAAGGCTCGAACAATCGTGTCTCCTCTTCCCGAATTATCCAATTTAGTGGACAATCTGAGCGCCAGTAAGGGAGACATTACTGTATTTGGTAGTCGATGTTTCTGGTATCATTTTTGGCAAATACAGTAATGTCTCTCTAATTGACGCCCAGATTGCGCACAAAAATGGACAATTCGGGAAGAGGAGATACGATTATTCGAGCCTTGCGGTTTATTTTTATAGTTATAAATTTCCCACAATTATAAAAACGAGCCGCAAGTCTCGAACAATCGTGTCTCCTCTCGCCAAATTATCCATTTTAGTGGACAATCTGAGCGTCAGTAAAGGAGACATTACTGTACCTACTCGAATGCAACGTCTTGCCGTCGTTAACGTCCCGATCGGTTCACGGTTCGTCGGCTCGACGATCCACGGCAGGACCCGCGACTTGGAGTCGCCCGCGGCGGATCGTTCGCGAAGAAGACTCTGCCCGTCGGCGGAAGCCGGAGCGGAAGAACAAAGTCGTTGCGATGTATGCGTGGGTCGCAAATACCAATTGAACAACAACGAACGCGCATTACTTCATCAAGGAACGGAAGGCTCGGAGCCCGGTTTACCGGGGCGCGTTCCCTTTGATCGTCGGAAACGGGCGCGTGCGACCGCGAGTCCTATGACTGGACCGTCGCGTCTAGAGTCTTAGAGTACAAGAAGTCTAGAGTGCTAGAGTTCTAGAATTCCGGTGTCCTAGAGTTTAAGAAAAAAGTCTAGAGTCCTAGAATTCAAGAATTCTAGAGTCCTAGAATCCGAAAATACTTGAATTCTAGAGTCCTAGAGTTCCAGATTCCTAGAGCTCTAGAGTCCATGAGTTCTAGAATTCTAGAATTCTAGAGCCCAGAGTTCAAGAGTTCGAGACTTCTAGAGTTCCAGATTCCTAGAGCTCTAAAGTCCTTGAGTTCTAGAATTCTAGAGTCTTTCCTAGAATTCTAGAGCCCTAGAGTTCAAGAGTTCGAGACTTCTAGAGTTTTAGATTCCTAGAGCTCTAAAATCCTTGAGTTCTAGAATTCTAGAGTCTCCTAGAATTCTAGAATTCTAGAGCCCTATAGTTCAAGAGTTCGAGACTTCTAGAGTTCTAGATTCCTAGAGCTCTAAAGAGTCCTTGAGTTCTAGAATTCTAGAGTCCTAGAGTCCTAGAATTCTAGCGCCCTAGAGTTCAAGAGTTCGAGACCTCTAGAGTTCTAGAGACCTAGAGTTCTAGAATTGTAGAGTTCAAGAATTTGTGAGTCCCAGTTTTCAAGAATTATAGAGTCCTAAAGCCCCAGAGTTCTAGACTTCAAAAGTTCTAGAATTCTAGAGTCGTAGGGTTCAAGAGTTCGAGACTTCTAGAGTTCTAGAGACCTAGAGTTCTAGAGACCTAGAGTTCTAGAGACCTAGAGTTCTAGAATTGTAGAGTTCAAGAATTTGTGAGTCCCAGTTTTCAAGAATTATAGAGTCCTAAAGCCCCAGAGTTCTAGACTTCAAAAGTTCTAGAATTCTAGAGTCGTAGGGTTCAAGAGTTCGAGACTTCTAGAGTTCTAGAATCCTAGAGTTCTAGAATTGTAGAGTTCAAGAATTTGTGAGTCCCAGTTTTCAAGAATTATAGAGTCCTAAAGCCCCAGAGTTCTAGACTTCAAAAGTTCTAGAATTCTAGAGTCGTAGGGTTCAAGAGTTCGAGACTTCTAGAGTTCTAGAATCCTAGAGTTCTAGAATTGTAGAGTTCAAGAATTTGTGAGTCCCAGTTTTCAAGAATTATAGAGTCCTAAAGCCCCAGAGTTCTAGACTTCAAAAGTTCTAGAATTCTAGAGTCGTAGGGTTCAAGAGTTCGAGACTTCTAGAGTTCTAGAATCCTAGAGTTCTAGAATTGTAGAGTTCAAGAATTTGTGAGTCCCAGTTTTCAAGAATTATAGAGTCCTAAAGCCCCAGAGTTCTAGACTTCAAAAGTTCTAGAATTCTAGAGTCGTAGGGTTCAAGAGTTCGAGACTTCTAGAGTTCTAGAATCCTAGAGTTCTAGAATTGTAGAGTTCAAGAATTTGTGAGTCCCAGTTTTCAAGAATTATAGAGTCCTAAAGCCCCAGAGTTCTAGACTTCAAAAGTTCTAGAATTCTAGAGTCGTAGGGTTCAAGAGTTCGAGACTTCTAGAGTTCTAGAATCCTAGAGTTCTAGAATTGTAGAGTTCAAGAATTTGTGAGTCCCAGTTTTCAAGAATTATAGAGTCCTAAAGCCCCAGAGTTCTAGACTTCAAAAGTTCTAGAATTCTAGAGTCGTAGGGTTCAAGAGTTCGAGACTTCTAGAGTTCTAGAATCCTAGAGTTCTAGAATTGTAGAGTTCAAGAATTTGTGAGTCCCAGTTTTCAAGAATTATAGAGTCCTAAAGCCCCAGAGTTCTAGACTTCAAAAGTTCTAGAATTCTAGAGTCGTAGGGTTCAAGAGTTCGAGACTTCTAGAGTTCTAGAATCCTAGAGTTCTAGAATTGTAGAGTTCAAGAATTTGTGAGTCCCAGTTTTCAAGAATTATAGAGTCCTAAAGCCCCAGAGTTCTAGACTTCAAAAGTTCTAGAATTCTAGAGTCGTAGGGTTCAAGAGTTCGAGACTTCTAGAGTTCTAGAGACCTAGAGTTCTAGAGACTTAGAGTTCTAGAATTGTAGAGTTCAAGAATTTGAGAAACATCATCTGGCGGAGGTTCTCGGACACGAAAGGGAGAGTCGCGCGATGTTTTGCGACGCGGCGCGATAGAATCAGGTGCGTGTTATCGGAGCGGGACGCGGAATACGGAACGCGGGCTACGGAAAACCGCAGTGGAAGCAGGAGCCGTAGTCGAACTCGGATCCCAAGAGCGGAGAGCCGCGACCGTATCTCTTCCGTGGGAACGATAAAGCGGAGAAAGACGGCGCGACGCGGCGATTCGGGAGAAGCGAGCTGCGAGGGCGGTCTGGACCCGCTCCAAAATCTCCACCCCCCGGCTCTGGCCTTCACCGTTTTCCAGCGTTAGGCGGCGCGAGGGACCGCGATCGCAAACTTTCCATGCCGGAAATGGCCCTCGGCCCGTTGGTCGGTGACACGTGAGCTCGCCGATAACGTTGCCGCGCGACGAATCGACGAGCTCCTCTCTTTTTCGCCGACTCGTTTCGGGACGCCGCGCCGCGCCGCACCGCGCCGCGCCGCACCGCGCCGCGCCGCATGCCGCGTCCGAAGCCCGATTCGTGCTCGATCGCTGAAACGCGAACCGTTCGTCTCTTTGAACAGCGTCGTTTACAGCGTCGAGAAAAGAAGCGGAATGTTTGAACGCTCGCCAAACCACGCATCGAGAGCCCGAAAAAAAGCTCTTCCTCTCCCTTGCCTCGTTTCGCCTGCCAAGCTAGATTTATCGAAATTCTAAGCATCCGCGCGCGGCTGGCTCGACGACGCTCCCAGCTTTACGTTCTCCGTTCGCCGTGTTCGCAGCGACGGCGGCACCGACGGCGACGCTAGGATCGCTCGCGATCTACCGCGACCCGCCCGGACTTCTTTGGTTTTTATCTTTCCGCGCTCGTTCTCACCCTTCCCCGCGCTTCGTCTCCCTCCCTCTCTTTCTCTATCCTGTGTGATTTATTCGCGAATTATGCGCGGCTTCGCGGCGACCG